AGGTTTGACCCTGTTGTTGGTACAAATTGACCCCTTTTAATCTTCCCATCCCCTTCCCCTCAAACTTTAATCACCAAAATTTAATAGCATCAATCCTCTAGTACACTCACCTTCCTACAAAATTTCAGAAATTTTTTACCAAAAGCACAGGAGTTAAGCTTCAAAGAGGGTGAAGATAATCCTGCCCCACACATACACACACACACAAATTGGGCCCCAATTTTTTTTTTCATTTCTTGATGTTTTAAAGTTCCCTGAGTCCAAAAATTAAAAATCTGGGGAGGGGTCATTTTTTGACCGATTGCCATACTTTCCCTCTGTTATATATAATAGCCAGGAAAGTAAAAAATATATAAGATTCTTATGCTTATATTATAATGAGTATATTTGTCTCAATGTATGAAATTTTTTATATATCTTGTCTATGTAAATGTAGAAAATTATTCAAAATATTTAAAGCTAATATGAAACTTTAAGGATTCTAAATTTTAGTTGTAGATAAAGACATAATCTGCTGGAATATTTTTCAAGCTAGGAATCACTTTATTAAGCAAATTAACTTCTTGAACTAGCAATGAATGTTTTTGGCTGTCTTCATCAGCCATCGTCAAGTTTCACAAACATCAACTGAATGGAATTCCTTCAAGAGCAACTTCACTTGGGATGATGGTTCATTCTAGCATTTGAATTTATTGTTTGATTTATTAGAATATTTGAATTTTAGTTATATGAATCTAAAGAAAAATATTCAAATGTTTTAATGATGATTAATATTTTTGTTATGGCCACAATGATTTCTTAAAAAAGATAAAGATGTTTTTAAACATTCATTAATATAAATTTTGGCAGTAATTTTTCCTTTTGTCACAAACAACAAACTTTTCAATCTATACTGGCAAATTGCTTGCAATGCCAGATATTTTTAGCCAAACTTTCTGACATCAATTTGAGATTCTTGAAGAACTCCTTCAAACTCTATAATAGCATGAGCCAGAAAGTGTTGAGAAGTCAGCCTTTACATACATGTTGTCTAAAACCAAACAAACATTTTTCTTGCTAATTAAACAATACAATTTTCATGCTTCTTTTGTTTTTCAGTCATTAGTTAGATATTTTTGTTTTTTATATGATCTTATACTTGCATGCTGCTTAGCCCTTTGAACTATTGTTTGATTAGTTTTGCATTTTTTTTGCAACATCTCTCACTGCAATTTTTGTAAATTTTTGCCAGGCTGCATATTTTTCATGCAGCCTGGCTTTCAAGAAATAGACAATGTCTTACAATACTGATTTAACAATCCATACATTGTACTTCAGGAAATTTATAGCTCTTTTGCTATGAAATGTCTTTGTTTTTCTGGCTTTTCCATCCATATGTCAAAAATTGCTATTTGACAGTCTATTTCATTTATTGTTTAAAGCAATATCACAGTTTTATTTTAATAAAACTGATGATAGAATTCTTATTCTAATTATTTTAAATTTTTGCTATGGCAACAAACGAAATTATAAATAATAAACAAAAAAAGTTAATGTCTTTTGAATTTTACAGATTTCTATTATTAGTTTTTACTTTTCTGAGTAATAAAGTTTTCTTTCTTTAATTGTACCAGCATTCTTGTTCATCTTTTGATTGTAAGATATCTCCTGTAATAGGAGTTGATTTTTCATCTTCACTGTCAGAATCATCATCAGAAGTATCTATGTAAGAACTTTTATTACAGTTTTCAGTGTTATGTTGTTCTGATTTTGTTTTCAATTCTTTAAATTTATTTTTTCTGAAATGGCTATCATCACTTTTTTAATAGCTGAGATAATACTTCATAATTTTCTTTTTCACTTACATTACAGGCAGTGCCATCAAATAGCTATTTGGCCTCCTCCAAAAACAATCTATCCCCATAAAATCAATATCAAAAACAAACAACAAAATTTGGTTTTTGGTCTTTTCACTTTAAAAAAATGCTTTTAGGTAATTTTAAAAATAGTCTATTTGATGAATTAGGTGACTAAAAGGTAAAATAAATAACAAAATACAATTTATTTATAAATATATTAACATTTGTTGAACTGCACTTAATAACTTTTATCAGTGTGATTCATATATTATCAACAGTGCTATTTTATACAGTATTTTATTGTAATTTTTTCAAACACCTGTTGGTGTTATCACATAATGTAATTTTGAACATTCAAAAATGTCTTGGTATTGATTTAATTTTATAAGAAATATTACATATTGACTTAAAAGCATAACGTGTCCATTAGGCCATGTGATCTGTTCAGGATTAAACAAATATGTATTGATATTTGGTATATTTATTTGTTAAAATACATAGTACATATTAATTTTATAGATTTGTAATGTTTTTAAAAAATAATCTATGATATCTTTTTATTTTTTGCTGAAAAATTTAGTAGAAAAATGAACAAAACTGAATAATGTATTGTTTACATAAATGTAAACAACACATCGTTCAATATAAAAATTATTATGCAACATATGATAGAGAATTTATTCAGTAAATTTAAAAATTTGTTGAAAATATTTTTAGGCTATTTATTTATTTTATTTTATCTGGATTTATAAAAGTTTGAAATTAAAATTTACGTTATAAAGTATGAACCTCTTTGATAGTAATACTGATTAGATTGCTTTTGTTATAATGATAACTAAATATGGTTAATTATATAAATTTAGATTTTTTTAATTTTATGTAATGGGGAGGGATTTCAATAATACTTGTCAGAAAATTTAAAATATTTCTATTTTTTCTGACATTCCAGTATATTACCCTTTCATTTTTAAAGTTTTATAACATAATGGGATGGAGTACTGTTTATAACATATCAGATACATACATTAAATAAATGTTCAATAAATATAATTTTTCAGAGCAAAAAAATTTAAACTTAAAATTAAGGTATTGTATTTTTGCAAATATGTAATACTGTATAATTAATTAAATTATTATAACATTAGTATTTAAAAATGGAAAATTAAGCAGAGAAAAAATGAATTTGTATTTATTTTAAAAAATATAAAAATTATTTATTATATAGGGTGTCTCAGAATTTAAAAATTTTTAAATATGAAACATAATTCAAAATTAATAGAAAATGAAAAAGTTTGTTAGTCTACAAAGTAGAACAGAAAACATGCTCAGTGTTTTTCATCCTTTTGTGTACAGATTACAAATTGCAATGCATGCATTCTGAATTATAACAGTGAGAGTGCTTTATTGGATTGAGTTGACAGTTTCACAAATAATTTTCTTTGTTCAACAGTAGTTTTTGATTTCCATCTCACAGTACTGTACACCACAATAACCCTACAGAAAGAAATATGGAGGAGACAAATCTGACATCCTGGGAGGCCACTCGATGTCACTTTTATTTGAGATTTCCAGGAAATTTTTACATATAAAAATTTATATACACGTATGCAAGAATCAAATGTCATGAAAAATGCATTTGCTTGTGGAATGGGAACAACAAAGGTTTAAGCATATGTAGGTAATCTTTTATAGTAAGAATTGTAGATTCATTTGCATCATTAAAGAAATAAAGTCTAATAACTTAAGATATTATTCCACATCACAATTTTGTGAAATAGAGATGGACTTCAAAATGTTTTTGGTTTATGATTGCCTCAAAAATGAGTGTTGCTTTTCATGAAACTATTGGCATAGACATAATATTCATCAATGAAAAAGTTATACAAATTTAATTTTTCAGAACTGCAAATTGCAAACACCTTCATACAAAAATTCTGGTACCTGTGTCTCTTGTAGCAGGTTCTTGCAAAACATTAAATTCTGTAAGGAAATAGGTAAAGATCTCAGAATAATTCTGTTCAAAGGTCTCAATTACAATGATCTATACCATAAGGATTTCTGTAGACTCTTAGCAGCATCTTGCTTCACTTGTTTTAGAAGTGTTTGGGCTGTTTTTGGAACCCCCTTTTATTTTCTGTCTAATGAAGATTTTTTGTTGCATGTAAAAAGATTCAAAGATTTAAAGTTAATGTCCAAATCAACAACCTTAACTTTATAGTTGTCAGTTTGGACATTAAGTTTAAAATCTTTGGCATTTTATATTTTCTTTTTTGGAATTAAATGTGTTATGTTCCATGTAAGAGTTAATGATGATTGTTGAAAACATTGGAAACATTAGTGAGAAAAATTATAAACTGTTGGTGTTAAAAAGCTTTTGAAGTGGTTTTTTTCAAGAAATTCCAGTTAGAATATCTGATGTAATCCATACAGGATTATGAGAGAGCATTTAAAATTCCCATGACTGCCAGATTTGTTCACTGAATGACAACAAATGGCATTGTGTGTATTGTGCATTCATTTGATTTTTCTGCATTGCTGCTGTTGTGATCCTTGTATTCCATGCAATTTAAGTTATATTTAACCTTAGTTATACTTCTATAATAGATGCAAGTGTCAATTGTATCAACTGGTAATGGTTGATATCAATAGTATATACCAGTCTACATTGTATTTAAGCTTAATTCAGGTCTTCAATCCATAATGTTTCAGACATGGAATGCATATAATTAGTGGTTCGTGATGTACTGTTGAGTTATGTGACCTTGATTAGTCCTCTAAATCTGTTAATCCAAGAAGATTTTGGAACCAAGGGTGCTAGAAAGTTGCTTGCCAGTCTTTATGTGAAATGGTCAAATGAATTCTAGGATGCCCTAATTTTGTTTTTAAATAATTTATTTTGAGTATTAATTCATTATGTAATTAAATGCATAATACAAATATGTTAATATAAAAGTTACATTAGAAAATTCAATAATAATTTAGTTTTAAATGAAATAATTGAATAAATATTAAAAATTAATTTCAGAATGAATTTATATAGCTGTATAGGTTGTTAAAAAGTTTTTTACAGTTTTTTAACAAAAGAAATTCATCATAAAATTACATTTTGTCACAAGATTTTTATTCAGTAAAAATTTTTAAATATTGCTATTTATTTTTTAGGTCGTCTGGATCCCTTGCCAATAATAGTGAAAGAAGACATTATGGGTTTTGGAAGATGGGAAATGGAGGTAATATTTTTCTTGATACAATATCCTAAATTAAATAAGTGCTTAATATTTGGCTAATTTTAAAGATAAATGTGGAAAAATTGTCTGAAATTGTACTTGAAAATAGTATAAAAAAGTATCAGTTAATGGAAATTTTAAGATCAATACTGAATGACTGGAATATTTTTATACCTATGTATTGGACTTTTTATTATTAAGTATTGAGATAATTTGGATATACCTAATTATCAAATTGTTTTAACTTTTAACTGAGCTAAATTTAGATTTTAAAAAAATTTAAAATAAGATGATTTAAGATAAGATTCACATATTTAACATCACTATATTAATAGTGTATAAAATTACATGTAAAGATTTGGTATTCAAACTTTTTTTAATCTTTTGAAAATTAACACTTTCATGTTTTACAAACTAATGGGTTTTTTTTATTAATACTTTTTGATGTAAAGTATATAAAATAAGTAAAATAACTTATTAGAAATATATAATTTAACAAAAGAAATGAAAATGCATTTTGTAAGTTTCCAAAATGATTTTATATATATATATATATATATATACACAGTATATATGAATATTCTAATATTGTAAATTACAAACAAATTGGTATTGTAATTTGGCTGAATAAATAAATTTGAAATTGAAATGAAGTAATTTATTGAATTTAAAAGTATAATAATATTAAGTACAATTAATTTAAAGATATGCAATTACAAATTAACTATTTTTTCTAAATAATCAATTAATCTTCATTACAGGTATAATTTATAATAAACTAGTTGTGTTAAATAAGCTTAATAATGTTTTATTGTAACATAAATAATGTTTTAATAAATAAGTTTTAGTTATTTGTCGAAACCGTGTCTTCTTTTTCTTGTTTCTTCTAATTCTATGTCACGACTTGGTGCATTTACCGACACTTGGCAAATAATTCCATCATCTACTTTTAATTCATACAGAAACGCGTGACTGTATGAATTAAAAGTAGATGATGGAATTATTTGCCTAGTGTCAGTAAATGCACCAAGTCGTGACATAGAATTAGAATAAATAATGTTCTTTTGATTAAGATATGACTAAAATACATTAACATATTTAACAAACATTACGTAATTGAATGCATGTCAATAGTATTTTATTTAATGGCATGTCAACATGTGCTTTTGCCACATTGTTCATATTCTCCTGATGCATCTGAGAATTTGTTTCAATGAACCATTTTATTGGTGATCAAGTGCCAATATTCCTTGTACTATATGGTTTTGCTCTAATAGGGTTTGAAAATTGGGATATCTTATGTACAACACAATGTCCAGTTTCTCTCTAACATGTTTTTTGAAATCCTCCATACAAAATTTCAATTTTTAAGTGTGAACTTGATTATTCAATATATATTTTTTCTATTCAAGTAAGCATGCATGTTGTTCAAAATTTGCCCAAGGATTTTAGAATATTGAAATTTTAAAATTATTTTGTGCATCTTGTTGGATTTACTTTAATGTAAACTGATAGTGCAATTTTTTCTTCCTTGTTCTAAGTTTCCTATCAACCAGTTGTCATTGCTTTCATACTTTAGTCCTTAAAGACTGTCACTGTGTTTCCTTTTTATAGATTAATCTTTGTACTTACCTAAAAATGTTTATATAAACTTTACTAAGTGTTGTTAAACCTTTCTTTAACCATAAATATTACTTATCTACAAATGATTACTTCATTCGTAAAAATGAAATACAATGGTATCTCAATACTTGAACAATTAGTTATTTGAACACAAATTCTGAAAAAAAGTCACTTGGTATTTGACTGAACAAACTCAGCCTGATAGAACAAATTTTTGATTAATAAAATATTTTTATTTTGTCATCCATAAAAATTTTTATGATAAAAATAAAAAATATGAAAATGTTGCTGATACTTCTGATCAAGATCAACAAAAAAAAGCTAAGATGACGACAATACTTTGTAAAAAGAAAATGCCCTCATTTAACTAAAATTAATATTAATGCATTATACAGTATGTTTAATTGTTATTGTTAATTATTGATTGGAAATAAATTATCAATTGCCTTAATAAACATATTTTTCTTAGTAATGCAAAAGAATAGTATACTTTTGCTAACCTCTGGAATGTAATCCTATATTTTGCATTAGTCCTTTGTGTCGTATAGCATGGATTTGCATAACATGACACTTGTTTGGAATGTAACTATAGTGTTATACAAGGGATAACTGTACATATTACTCTATGTATAATTTTTTGTCAGGTTGTTTCTACACTTTTACACAATAAGAATTGCACAAAAATATGAGAGTCAAATACAGTTGCAACTTATTAAGTAATTATATACTTATTATATGCACTGATCCTTAATATAGGAATTATAAAATCTGGTATAGAAAATTCACTCTTCATAAATTATGTGTATATATAACAAAATGAATGTAATAATATAGAAGCCCAGTATGATTAATTACAACATGGAAATTTATAAAAAATGAGCAATTATTTATTGTTACATTGTCACAATGCTGGACTGCAATTTTTAATTATATTTTAAATTTATTTAACCTAATTTATTTAATTAAAATATAAACTCTCTCTACCTCAAGTTAGTAGTGGCTTGCCCCTATAGATTATATTTGCCGTTAACAATAGAGTCATATCAGTCATCTGTCTAACATCTTTTGGGGAAAAATTTTTGTATTGAAATAGCATGACTTCTGGTTTGCATGACATGACTTCTGAAGTTTGTATATAGTGAATCAGGACTTTCTGCTCCTAAGCTTTCCATATCTGGTCTTGAATTTCACTTATCTAACACCATTCCAGAGATTAAGGAAAGACAGATAGACAGGCAGGCAACAGTATGAATTTATAGGTCTACAGTTTTTTCAAATTGCAGCCCAATGAAATTAAATTTATAAGATACAACAACCAGATAGTTTGTTGTATGTTTATCAGTAATCTTCATATACTTTAAATTTTTTTATGTCTTTAAAATATTATTGAAGATATTGAAAACTTCAGTTTCAGCAAAAAAAAAATTATGGTTTCTGTTTTATGGGACAGAAAAGGCATTTTTCTGATTGGCTTCATGCCTCCTGGCACCACAATTAATGCTGCTGCATATTGCCAAACTTTGCCACCTTTGATGGGCCATTCAAAACAAATGGAAGAGATTGTTGACAACTGGTGTCTGACAATGCTCGGGCTCACAGTGATTGTCAACAAAATACTTCTCACGATTCAAGTGGGAAGTTTTTGACCATCCACCATGCAGCCTAGACCTTGCTCCCAGCAACTTTCACTTGTTTCTTTATCTGAATAAACATCTTGCAGGACAACACTTCCATGACATATATGAGATCAAAAATGGAAGTTGACATGTGGTTCTGGCAGCAGAGGTAGAATTCTATGACTCTGGGATATGGAAGCTAGTACCCAAATTAATAAGTGTTTGGATAATGGTGGCATTTATGTAGAAAAATATTGCATGTACCAGTAAATAAGGTGTAGTGAATATGTTAGATAAAAATGTTTTGAATAAATACTAGCCATTGTATTTTTACTTTTTGGACATGCCATATATATTACCATACACTTTATTACAATAGAACAATTGTAATTTTTAAAACAAATACCTGTATTGCTTAAGTATCTGAGTATCTGATTACTAGTTATATCTAGCTACCTGATATTTAGCATTATAGAAGAAAAAATTTTTAAATACTGTATTTAGTTTATTGAATTTACTTATGATAGCAAATTTAATAACATTCTCAGTTTCATAATTAGAATGTTGACATTTATATTGTAATAATGTAATATTTTTTAAAAGATAAAAATTGGGTATAAAGTTATTTTATGCTTTCTAGACTGTTAAATGATCTAACAAAACAAAAATTCTGATTTTGTACAAAAGATAATAGTTTTATTTTTGATATAAACATACTGAAAAATAATAATTTTTTTAAAAAATTTATTAAAGATTACTATTTAATGTAAATTTCTTTTGGACTGATGATTTTATAATTTTGTCTTATGTAAAGTGATTGGCTTTATTCCAAGATAGAAATTTTTGTTTTGTTATATATAGCTTAGCAAAATTGAGAATAATGTTTGAAGTTACTTTTCATTTGATAACAAATGCAATTTTTATTTATTTATTTTTTTTTATGGATTGTCATATTTGCAGGCAGTTTGCAAATAGAATCAGCTATCTGCATCATGAAAATTATTGTTAAAAATGTTAGAATCATGTAGTAAGTAGATAATAAATATTATTGAATAAAATATAAAATAGTTCTTGACATCTAAAAAAGTGGACATGTTTATTATAGTCACTATCAATACAGTAATATATTAATATATTACATGGATATCACCTGTTTAAAATAAATCATATTTGAAGTTATTTCTAGCTAGAGATTTTATTAATTGTTGTTAGGAATTCTATTTTTATTTTATTTATTTATTTCATTACTAGAGAATCCTTTTGTATTTTAAATTAAGTTACACAAGTAAAAAACTAGTTTTTTAGAAATTATATCTAGTGTATCTTGGTATTAGTATCTAGTGTACTGGAAGTTATGGAATGTATTGATATTCAGCAGACATGAAGTCTGCATCTTTATATGAAAAAATGCTTGCAATTCATTAGAAGTCTACAAAGTTCAAGTTGCTCACCAATGCACTATATTTATGATAAGTGGTTCCCCCAAATGAGGTGTGTTTTCTAGAAAAAAACACATTTGTTGTTACTAATTTCTTAATTCTGTTCATTCTCATTTTTAAAATCATGATATATTTTATGAAACTCCCCTGTTAGATGCTGCCAGCTTACAGTGGGTGAACTCTTTATTGCCTTTGTATTCTTTTATGAAGTTTTACAAGAAGTGAAACACACACAAGCTCTACAAAATCCATTTTCACACTGGAAATTGGAAAAAGTCTTAGGTATTTCTTAGTCACAACTGTAATATGTAGTTTGTGTGAATGT